TAGTCTCATTCTTGTTTTATTTTCGCACTTGGCCTTTCTTTTGAGCTCTGACTCCTCCTTTCAGCTTCACACTTTATATTTTGCATTTTGCCACTCTCTTAGATATGTAGTCGGTAGTCTACAAGTGTGTATGTATGAGACGGTTTAAATCATTATTCAGAGATACTACCTGAAGCCAGCTGGAGACAGGGAAGGCTCAGCAAATACCAGCAGTGACGTCTTTGGAATTGGAGCATCCCACTGCTGGTCAGTATTGATACGAACTGAAATGATGGTTACCTTGCATTTGACACGAGGGATGGTTTCCTTTTGAGAGCAGGGACGGTTGCCTTTTCAGAGCAGGGACGCAGGGATGGTTTCCTTTTGAGAGCAGGGACGGTTGCCTTTTAAGAACAGGGACGCAGGGACGGTTGCCTTTTGAGAGCAGGGACGCAGGGATGGTTGCGCCCCGTGGGAATAAAAGGAAGCAGGGACGCAGGGACGGTTACATACATCTTAAATGAAAAACGGAAGGTGTGAGGTAAGGGATTACCATTTCCGACCAAAAAAGCGGCAGATGGGAAAAAAGGAAGCAGGGACGCCCCATATAAGGAAGGAGCAGGGACGGGGACGGTTTACACCCCCCTAAACCCAGAAACAGATAGATAGTTTGCTCGTTTCCGCGTCGTTTTCAGGGCGATCGTTGTACACGCCGAACTTTAGGGTGTCTCCGATCTGCAGCAGATTGACCCATGCAACGCCAGCTCTGCATTTTGCTACCCGTGAGTCTAACTTTTGCGTCTCCTTGCCTAGGTCTATCTTCGGAGGTGCTGCCTCTATCGGACGCTGATTCAGTAGCAGGTGCGATCCACCTTCATCCTAACATTAGTGTGCCATTGGTTAGTCTTTCCTCGCGCTGATCAATGCCAAACGCTTACTCCTCCAGATCCTCCCTTCTTTCCTCCTCCTTTAGCTTTCTTTGGTGCCATTTAGCTCGAAAATTTGTTGATCTTGTGGGGCAACGCAACGGCAACACGATGGTAAGTAACTAACAGTGAAAATTTTTATTATCCGGCTCCCAGATTTTTGGTTTACCCTAGCCTTCCGCCCTTCGCCCTGTGCCTCTGCCTCATGTTCACTGGAGGTCCGCGAGCATCACGTGATGTTATCACGTGATGTTGTTTTGGCGTCGATAGAAGGTATATATCTTTACTATCTTTATCTTTATCTTTATCATTTATATATGATATATGATATATTATAGACTATTAACTTGTTAACGTCCGCAGATGGACCAGTTCCAAGTGCGGAAATTTACTATATTTATCTGTTCATGTATGTATGTTTGATTCGTTCTTTTGCTCCCGTTGTTCCGCCAATAGACCTGTGGCGACCGCGGACGTTAGAATACATTATACCGTATATTATTCCTATATGATATGATACTTTCTATATGATATTTTCTCCATTTTTCAACGCTATCACAGGTCAACATTAGATATACTATATATGTATTAAGAATTTTTGGTGTGTATAGCCATGAGTTTGTGTGATGTATGTTATGTCATTATGATGCTATAATGTACCAGTTAGATCTACACTTGATATATGCTATATATGCTGTATTTTGTAATGATAGATTACCAAAATGGATTTTGTAGGCCTTCCATTTTCGTTTTTCGGGGCCTAGGGGTTAACATAACCATATATTTAACCGAACCTATTTACAAGAATCCTATATAATGCTGGGGGTGGAGCGAGATTGTGTTGGTATTGCAGAGATTTGTTGATTTTTATTGAATTTGAGTTGTGGTCCGATTGTAGTGTGATGTGACGGAGGGTGATTTTGATATGGGGCTGGGAACTGAGAGAATGCATTCCTGACCCTAAGCATTAACCGAGACACCGAAACCTGACTAACCGAGGCAGCTAACCTCGAAGCTAACATGGGCGGGGGGTGGGGGGGGACTTGAATTTATCCTGTTGATTATCTTTGGTATATTTGCATACAGATGCTATATCTCTGTAAAGGTTTTCTTGGATGCTTGATTTTATGCGCAGAAAGGTGAACGGATGATATGTATTATGTGCGGATGGTTGATTTGCGCAAAGATTAGGCATGCGGATGATGCATTGGCTCTGTTTGATGCTGCCTTTATTTTGCTTGGTTTGTGGGATTGCTGGGGTGCTGCTTGTCTTGCTTGTTGTGTTGGTCGAGGTCAAAATTCTGTTTTGACTTGACTTTGTTTTGCTTGATTTTTGGTTGTATCACTACCGTAAAGATCACTTGCGAATGTCAGAGACAAGGTGTGCGGATGCTAGATTTGATTTGCGGATGGTTCGCATGAATGGCGAATATCAGAGATGAGATATGCGGGTGCTATATTTGATTTGCGGATGGTTTGTATGACTGGCGTTGACTGGCGTTGACTTGCGGATGGTATGCGGATGTCAGAGATGAGGTGTGCGGATGGTACATATAACTGGCGTTGACTTGCGAATGTCAGAGATAAGGTGCGAGGATGCTAGATTTTATTTGCGAATGTCAGAGATAACCGGTGTTGACTTGGGGATGGTGCGCGGATGCTAGAATTTATTTGCAGATTTTATGTTGCTATTATGTTGCTTAATTTTGGACATGCGAGCTAAGGACAGGATCTCATTTTGATTTGGCATTGTTTTGCTTAATTTTGTTGCTACGATGTCAGGTATATTTCCTTGATTTTTGCTGTTTTTGAAGTTCCTTGTATACTGAATTTGACTTGCGAATGTTGCGGAGATTGGAGGAATATATGTATCTGATCCTAACTAACTAACTAAACATAAAACCGACAAGGGCGGGTGGGCGGGAATTGTATCTACACTTTTTGATGTCAAAGATAAGGTGCTCGGATGCTGGACTTGACTTGCGGGTATCAGAGATAAGGTGCGCGGTTGCTAGATTTGATTTGCGGATGGTATGTATGACTGGCGTTGACTTGCGGATGGTATGCGGATGTCAGAGATAAGGTGCGTGGATGCTGGATTTGACTTGTGGATGGTACGCAGATTAAAGGATGTGAAGCGTGGTGTCATAGTATGGACAGAAAATCCTATGCTTCCATAGACTGTTATTCCACTGAAATCGTGATTTTGCTTGTTACTAACACTTGGGCATTCAGATCATTATTTTGCATTTCAGACAGACAGGGGTTATTTATCTACTTTTGGCACTCAAACATTAGTGATCAATAGGTGTTCATCCTTCAGTTCAGTAGTAGATTAGTTCACTCTTAAATCTTGTCTGACAAGGTGCAGTGATGATATGAAATTCTAGCATTCATGCAAATCCTGTGGAACATTCCATGTATTAAGTGATACTAGCTAATTTACATAGTATGCGTTAGTTAATGTTGATGAACGTAGATGGTACAATGATAATATCAGCGTTGTAGTCCGTCCCTATAAAATCAGTACTTCACCGTACGTTAGACTTTCTTCTCTTCCACCACACACCGACGAAAGCTCAACCCTATAAAATCAGTGCTTCACCGTACGTTAGACTTTCTTCTCTTCCACCACACACCGACGAAAGCTCGACCCTATAAAATCAGTGCTTCGCCGTAAGTCACTCTTTCTTCTCTTCCACCACACACCGACGAAAGCTCGACCCTATAAAATCAGTGCTTCACCGTAAGTCACTCTTTCTTCTTTTCCATCACACACTAACGAAAGATAAAAGGTCAACACAACATTTTATACATTCTCTCCTCTCATCTACCACCAACGCGTTAGGAGATGGCTCAGGTAAGTACTAACCGTAGTCTAGTGGCATTACTAACGATGTCTCCTACCCAGCAACAAGGATATCAACCAAACTACGTTAATAACGACCACGCGGCGCCCCAACACTACCAAGCGCTGCCGCAATACAATTACGCTAACCAAGCGCACAATGCCGTGCCGCCGAATCAAGTGAGTGCCCTGTCTGCGTATGCAGGACCCCTCACATGTTCGGCCAGGCGCAGGCGCAGGTACAAGGCCAAGCGCAGGTGCAAGGCCAAGCGCAGGTTCAAGGTCAAGCGCAGGTGCAAGGTCAAGCGCAGGTGCAGGCGCAGGCACAAGATGACCCTGAGGAGCGCGTCTTCGTGGTGACGGAGGAGGTGGAGGTGAGTGTTTCCCGCTAGTGCACTCCGAGTCTCACGGAAATCTAGCGTTTATGGGCTCGGGGCCTAGCAACGGCTCGCGAGAACATCCGTAGAGCCGATGAAGGGCTAGGCAGCGTGCGTCACCCAGCGCACGGAGAGATGACGCGCTACATGCTAGGGTTACTCTTAGAGTTCAGGCGCGCAGAGCTGAGGAGGGAATTAAACGAGTTGGCCGAGGCAGAGTACGTGCTGGCGTTGAGAAATCTTGGGGGATAGTTAGTGAAGGACATCGCAAGGCGTTAGGGTCAGGCGGCTGGTAATAGGACTTACTCTAATCATAAATCCCCACTCATACCATAGTTAATATATCCACGAGCGCCAGCTAGGAGGTTTCATCTGTAAAAGTAGATATGTCAGGATTGGTTTTGTTGATAACAGGTTCTGAATAATCGCCATCTTCCTCCCAGGGCGCGAATTTGAGATTGTGTGGTAAGCGGTGTTACCTGTATGGTTGGGTACACCTTTTCCCCCTCTACATCTGTAGAGGGTCGTCAGAGGCCATTCCCTTTGTGGGTAGCAAAGTATACGTCAGTTAACCTTGCATTGGGATAAAAAGATCGAAACGTACATGCGCATCATTGCCTGTGTTTTGCAGGAATGAAGTGAGGATTTGCAGATGCCTGCATACTCGCTCTAGCGAACGTCTGTTGTGCCCACCTTCGCTTTACCTTCCACTGCAGCAATGTATCTAATACAAAGACGCTACTGTCAGGCTTGGCATCTATGCTGATCTCAATTGCATTCAGTAAAAAGGAGCAAGGGAAATGTAACTAGTTTTGAGACAGGAACGTACTAGTTAGTCTATTACAATGGTATCTATAGCCTCATCGACAGCCTGCAAGTCAACGCGCGCCCAACGATTATCCAACTTTTTCAAATCCCTTGCAATGTCCGCGGCTCTAACCCTGGTGCTCTTTCCTCGAACGCCTCTTGCAGACATGATATCTCGCACAGGCTGGGCGAGGAGTGTGGCAGTAACGGGAACGTAGGCCTCTTCTTCCTCAAGCGGCGGCGGGTCTGATAGATAAGCCTCATCATCAGAAATGAGGCACTTTGATGAGTTAGCGTCAGGACATGAAAAAAATGCGCTCGAGAGCTGAGCATTTAACAAAATTAAAGAGTTCGTGGTGTTTGTTGCGACGGGGTCGAAGGGCGGCGCAGACGTAGACACAGTCAGCGGGATCAAAAGTCTATCGTATAGGACGATACTCCCTTCTTCGTAAAGCCGGAGGAGCGCCCACATGAAAAGGCGTTTCATCCTGACCCGCGGGTGGTTGGGGCCAAAACGGGAGTTGTAACGCTTGCGGGTATGGGCAGCGTTCTGCTCCGGTTCACGCCGCCTCATTTCAGCATGAACAACCCGACTGGCTAGAAGAGCCAGTTCTGGAATCCGGCGTAGATGCAAGAGGGTAAAGGCTGGAGAGGCGGTGTCGAAATGAGGGACATCACTGGGCGCGTGATGGAGATAATGCTTGAGGTACAGCTGAAAGGTGTTGTCAGTGAGATCCGCCGTGTGCAACTGAGACGGGTGCCGAAATTGAGGGGGGTCCTGCCGAACTATGTTAGTTGGGAGTAGTGTGCGGCCAAGTACTTACCGTAGGGTTAGGTAGGATAAAACTGGATGGTTCAGAGGTCGCGCTGTGCGTTAGAGGAGAGGAAGGCTCGGGCAATACACACTTGGATGGCCCGAGGGATGACGGCTTGTCGTCAGGGGAAATCTCAAAAGGCTTTGTGACGGAGTATTTGGACTGGTGAAGTCCGACGACGATCTTCATGTGTTTCCACTGGTCGTTGGTTGATTCACATGGCTCTGAAGGGTCAGAAAAGTGTGTGAGAGAGAAAGAGAAAACGTACTTATGGATTTTGCTCGAATCTGTCGTTTGTCATGGAATTGTACGACTTTTCCAACGACTTGTACCGGGTAGCCGATGGCAGTGACAGGAGGTGGAGGCGGAAGTGGGGGAAGCGGTCCAGGTTTCCATGCCTTTGCTCTGGCATTAGCGTCCATGTGGGCAAAGCGCGGGGGGTGGCGAAGTATACAGTCGATCACCTCTGTCGAATCGTCGACTTCGCGAGCAGGATTAGTAACGGCGCAGCAGGCCAAGGGTCAACTCACTAAGGTACAGCGTCGATGTCGGGCCTACGTCGATCCCCACCACCACGCCAACGATGAGTACTATGCGGCAGGGTATATATCCCAGCCAATAAAAACTGGAATCAGGCGCTGCAGTTGGTTAGTTAGTTTTGAATGAAGGGTCCGCGCGGGATTGAGCACTAACCTTTGCTAATGCTTTGCCTCATAGAGAGAATGTCCCTAACGAAGCATGGGGCGGTCGCCTTGTCGGTGTTGGTCCACTTACAGATCTCCTGTTCAGAGGGAGATGATTTCTTGTTGGACTTTGAGTTGAACGAAACTGAGAAATGACCTGTATGAGTGAATCTCCGGCGTTAATGTGACAACTCACATTCTGAACGTTTGATATCGCTCGACGTCTCTTCAAAACGCACCCGTTTGATAGGGCGCGAATTTTCCATGACTGGTAAAAGGATTGAGTGCGTAAAGCGGGTGATAATCTCTGCGGGAGAGTATCTTCAATACATAGAAATAATGCAATGGATTCTCGCACCTAACTAACAAACTAACCTCAGGAAAAGCTGTAGAGTCCAAAAAAAACGTTTGTGATTCCCCAACAATGTCGCAAAACGATGTGATATAAGTTGAGGAGAGAGAGGGAAATATTACGTAAGCCAGGGGACTAATTGATTTGTAGGGATGAGCGATGCTGATTACATAAGTTACATAATAAGTCACAAGTACAAGTCATCGTCTGGTAGGTAGGACCTCCTACGTAAAATATTCTGCCAGTATGTAAGTCGTAAGAAACGATCATGAGTAATGTAGTTAGGTTCAAATATGTTTGAATTAGTGGGTTCTACGTATACGTCCGTAAGATTAGGCAAGGAACGAGCAAAAAAAGTGGCAACTGCAACGTCGTTGTAAGGCGGGGTGACTCCCACAGTGAGCGTGTTGAGCAACTTGTTGACGGGGAGAAGATTCAAGTCCAATGTATCTAGGCTGCAGTTAAATACAAGCCCGAGATTACGCAAAACACGGCAATGCAGCAGAAGGGACGAGACGCCGGCTAGCGATGCCCTAGGGGGGGTTGACCAGTAGCGAGAACAGCCAAGAAAAAGGCTTTCAATTTGAGGTAAGGCGAGGGAGAGGGAAAGCAGATCGTCATCATCAAAGGCGCACGTATTGAAGCAGCCGAGGTCGATGTGCGTTAGTGAAAATGGATAAAGCGGAGCGATCTTGTTGAGCTCTAGTGGGGGTACGTTGCATGGAACGAAAGTGTGTACAGTCACACTGAAATGCGTTAGGTCAGACGCTGAGAAGAGGGAAACGGCGGAAGGATTGGGCAGGGCAGCCAGGGAGTTGAGGAATTCACCCAGCGCGACGCCGCCGAGCTGGTAAAACAGCGAGATGTTTAATTGCTCACACGGGACCTGGAAACCACGCAACACGATAAGGGCAGTGGTGAAGGCTTCGTTGTCTTGCGAGCCGTTCATGAAGCTCCCCCGAAATGCAATCCCAAAAGACAGAAGGGGATGATGGAAATTAGGGGTATTTGGCGGCAAGTACACTTGGCCATATATGACCACCGTCAGGTGGAGTAGTGAGGGATGCATAAATATTGGTTGCATATCCTCAATCAAAGGGACTTTAAGGGAGCGAAGGGTAGGGAAAAGGTGAATGTTTCGAACGAGATGACGAACGGGTTGGCCAAGTTCGAGCCAGGCGAGGTTTCGGAGGGATGGAAGTGTACTGAGGACACGAGAGAGAACAGGCTGTGAGTGACCGTACAGGTCTGGGAGGATGAGCGTTTGAAAACCGCTATTGATGATGTACGGCAGGATTTTCAGAAGAGGACTGCTGGAGTCGGCTAGTCGCAAGTAAGTCAGGTGCGGAAGGAGGGGGGCATCAGATCTAGAGGCATGGCAAAGGAATATGGATATGAGAATGTCGACCGCCTCAACACTGAGACAGCCTGGACGTGCCACAATCGTGCGAATGCGAGGGGCATAGAGATCGACGCGGTCAAGTTGGCATGGTGAAGGGAGCCAAGAAAACGTCTAATGCGACGTGAGGATTGTGCATATAGAGAATAATGAAAAAACTCACATAGCGCCAGTTTCCATTTGGATGGAGATGCCTTTCCACCACTTGCTCCGGCATTAGGTGAAGCAAGGGTGCGGGAGAAGGCAACTCCTGCCATAAGACCGTCAGGGCGACGTCGCTAACGAAACTATTGACTACTAGCAGGGGGAGCAAGTGGCGCCAACCGTCAGGGCTGCTGTAGATCAACTCGCATATTGCGAGCATGACTTCGTACGGGAAAGGCATGGGTAGTTTTTTTTCTGGGCCGGGCGCTGGCTACTTAAACTAGCCGGTATCTTGAAGATCAGGCAATTTGAATATTCTGTCAATCCGAGGGCTTCTCGTTAGAGGTTAATCATGTCCAGGAGGTTGTGGTTCTTCTTGATCGAAGTGATGGTGGCCATGCTTCTTCGATGGTTAACAATTTGATACAGTGACCGGCGGTGAATAAAGCAGGCAATATACATACTTGTCAAGTCCATTACTGACCGCAAGGTTCCTCAACCCTGTCAGAGTGAGCCAAACGTTGGCCCCCGCTCAATCTCACGTAGATAGTTGTGGGCGAAGCGCAGTCGAAATATCACGTAGATCTCTTGACAGCGAGCCCACGTTGGATTCAGACTTCAGGGAGGCCGCCTGAATGCCAGGCAAAGCAGGGAGCCCTAACTCCCTGAGGTAATCTAGGATCGAAATCTTAAAGAGTTAGCGCGTAAATTGCTTGATTAATTTAAACGTACCTTAGGGAGGATGCTCGGAAGTAAACTACCCCATTGCATTGTATATATCCTAATCAGCGTAACGTGTCAAAATTTAATCGAAGTTCACCTCGACTTCGTGGATGAGATCACACAGCGATCACAAAACTTGCGCGCCAAGGGACCTGCATTATATACAACAGTATGAAATAGACCAAATGTAACTAAATTGTATAGTACAGTACCTAATGTACTATGCCTGTACAGGCTCTACAACGCAAACCTGATCGAAACGAAGATTGACGGTGACGCTAGAGTCACGCATCAACTTCAAGTCTACATTACTGCCCTTGACGTTACATTTGGAAACAGTTAAGATATTTCCCCGATACGACCCATCCAAAATAAAACATTCTTGTCCTTTCTTGCGAGGATCAGCGGGGGTGAGATCGTCTCCGGGAATGAAATAATGCTGCATTGCGCCTCCTGCAGTTTTAGCTGTACACCTGACGGCGACGGTGCCCTTGGGCGCTGGGCCATCCTGGCCGACAAAGGGATCGGGGCACTCGGTCTGCACCAACCGTTTGTGTAGCCGACCTCCGTGAACACCGGGAGCAACTTTGAACAGGGCGCGATAAGCAAAAAAGCTCGAGGAAAACTCCTGCAACCATGATGTCGGACCTAAAAAAATTTAAAAACCAAGCAGTGCATTGTCTGATACGAAGGCTTACCGGCTTTTTCTGAAAGTTTTCGAGCGGCGGCCTCGATAATATTCTCGACATCGAGGTTGTCGACAGCCCAAGGATCAGGCGTCGTGGACGCAAGATCAGTTACCGGATCGTTGTTGGACGTTGGAGGATCGTCATCCTGGGCATCGGACCAGGAAGTCCAGGCGACACCGGACGAAGAAGTTGATGGACCTGGATCAGCCCTGGACGGTGCGAGTCTTTCAGGTGGTGGCGTGACACTTCGCGTTTTGGGCGTTATGAAGGAGCGTTTGCGCATCTCGCAGAATAACAACATGTCGTTATAGTCGAGAATTGCACCGTTAAGCCTCATGCCGTATCTAAAGGACGTCAGTAATTCGACGACCTAGAGTGAAGAATAACTCACTGAGTGGCGACGTCGCAGGATGGGAGCGTGGTACGACGTTGACCGTGCACCGCGACCGTGCATTTGCCAAGATTGACATCGTACAGGGTACCTCTGTAACCTTTCTTGCCTCCCCCGATAATGTAAACCTCTTTGCCGGCCTGTGACCTGAACGTGTCCGTACTAACGTTCTGCGTCTTCATCACAAAACTAATAGGAACGTCAAGCTAAAAAAGAGTTAGATATGCTTTATGTGAATGCAAAGGTTAGACGTACGAGCGACTGATCGCTGTCAGATATGAATTGTAAACGAGCTTGAATGAAGTCCACCGTGTGGACTATGCCTTTAGCCAAATACTCGGGCCCACGGGCGACGCTGACAGAGTCGCCAGGCCTGATGTCGTAACCCCTCTCCTTAGTGAACTTGAGGGTGGGGGGAAGGCGTGTGCGCTGAGCCATAGCCACCGGAACTGAGATGCGCGGTGACCTGAAGTCGTTTTCGACGGTCAGCGGATGGTTGGTATCTCTAAACCACAAAATCATCCCCCCTGGGGTGACCCATTCTACCACACCAGACTTTCCAACGTCTTCTCCTGCTACAACTTCTATGTAATCGCCAATTTCAATAGTCTGATTTTCTGGAGGAGGCTCGATGTACTGAGTGATAACTTGTCCTTGAAGCGAATGCCTCAAAGGACGGCGATCCAGGTAATATTGGGAGACTTGGACCTACATAATCGTTAAAGACAGCATGATTTTAATTTTAATAATACGTACTATTTCGTTAGTGATGCGTTGACATACGTCAACCATATCTCCCGCTTTGGAGAGAATATGGCCTTCGACGCCCAAGTATGCGCCGGCGACCACTCTAATTTCATCGCCCACCCTTAAAACTCGCTCTACGTCATGGAGGCGAGCTTGAATTTCATCACGAACGCCGTCGTGTTTGATTTCTAAGCTAAGCGAACCGCCGGATGTGTGATCCACCGCTAAGACCGTACCGACCTCTGAAGGGAATTCTCCCCGAATAAAACGCGCACAGTCGCCAGATCGCAACATCTGCAAAGAAAATGAAATTTCCGTCTTCTTGACGAAGGGGAGATCAAAGCCGGATTGGCGATGGAGACGAATGTCATCGGGGTGCGGAGTGCAGACCTGTTCGATGTTATAGCGAAGGAATTTTTTTTGAAGAAGTCCGCCGTAGTACTTCTCTCCTTTGAAGGACCACCCTACGACTATACCGCTCCGGATAATGTCCGTCATGGACCCATCGGCTGGAATGCGGGATTTATCAAACAACGCGACCGATCCTTTGGCCATAGGATAGGGAAAAACTCTGGGCGGAATCAACACCGTGACGAAGTCGTTCGACTGGTCGGGATCGAAGACGTATGCAACGTCACCTTTGTATTGGCCGGCCTTAACTCGGACCCAGGAGCGGTCGGGAAGTTTGAGTGTGGCGCGTTCAAGTGACTCGGCTTCCTCTTCGGAGATGCGGTCCCATTTCTTGACGGTTGCAGAGTAGGTATCGGAGAGGCAGAGGAATATGGTTTTGGGGCTGTCGGACACGACGTATAGCTGTCCAGGAGACCAAGGCGACACTTTGACAATAAAGCCGTTCCTCTGGAGGTGATCAGCCATAAATTGTGTGACGGTTCCTGTACGATGTCAAGTCCAACCCTAGTTAGTAAAAAAACAAACTCACGTTGAACGTGAAACAGATACATCTTGGCTTGAACATGAATTCTTGAGGAGCTGGGCGCGTCGCCCGTGTATTTGTCCTGGAGCCTGTCAACCGCTGTCGAAAATTTGTGTTTGGCAGCGGGCAACTGCATGACAGTGTGCGATCGCGATGAAACGCCGCCTGCATCCTCCCTCTCTTCGAACACCAAGTCTTCCTCCTCCTCGTCTTCCTCGTCCCCTGCTTCGAGATCGAGAAATATGCTTTTATACTGAAACAAGTCAGATGTGATTGACAATAAATCTGAGAGCTTACCTGACGCGGAGGATGGTCTTTTGACCTGGTTGGATTATTCGGCACATATTTCAGCCTGACCGATCTAAAGTTTTGTAGGGAGAGGCGATCGTTTTCATCGCCTGAAAACAAAGCGGTCGTCGCTTCCGCCCATTCGTCCGCGATAAATCGCTCGCCGAGGTAATCGTCCATTGCCTGGAGAGTCTCGCCGTAACTGGCGGTTTGGGAGGTGAGGAAACTCTCTAGTATATCCCATGCATGGGGATCCGCTAACGGAGAGCCCAATTCCGAATCGCCTGCCTCAACGTAAGTAACAACACGAATGCATCGTTTGACGGTGCTTACTTTGACTTCTGGCGCGTTTCGCGCAAGGTTCTTCATCAGATGTACTGACGGCGCGTTTAGGCATTCCTAAATGTATACTTTAGTTGATACTACTCAAACTTCAATTGAACGAACTGCATACTTGAAAAACACAAGGTCCAATCAAAGTAACTAAATACTAGCGTTTGTATATGTACTGTGAGCTGATGGAGGAAGAAAAGAGACCAGCAATCGCAAAGGTCAGCAATTTATAGGGAACACCGATTTGGGCTGCTTACCAAATAACATGGACAATAGGGCGTAGCGGACTTGATGAACGTTGTGGACAGTACGCGGAAGTATCCGAACAATGGGCGACGCGAGATGTGGAGAGCGCAAATTTTTAAAATGAACATAATGAGCGACGCGACGCGCGCGGCATGTGGTGGACATGCATGAACTTTATTGATGCGCGACGCATTTTACTATTAGAAAAACAACTACATTCAACTACTACGTCGTCCAAAATTCTAACACTAGTAATACCAAAATGGCGAGGTGGATAATGTTAGTGGGAAAGGCGCAACGGATGCCATCAGCGAACTTCATATAGGGATGACAAATGATAATTAAAACTCCGCCGGAAGCCCTGCAAACGCAAACATGAGCCTTAATATATAGGGATCAGCGATGAGTTAACTTACCAAGAATTGTGACCACACGCTATTGAGTATTGTCCGACGCGTGATCATTTCCTGTATCGTACAGTACGTTGTGGAGTTGAAAAAGGCGTGTAAAACGCAAAGTTGGTATTTTTAGAGGGATAACTATTTTGGGATGCTTACCAAGCATCGTAGCCACTGTGGGCGTAGTGAGCATTGTACAATAGACGCGTCTCATATATGACGTTGCGTCATTTTTTAATTGCGCGTGCTAAAACACGCGATGCGTCGACAAATATGACGAGATTAAATACGCGTCTAGAGGTGAATTCTAAAAATATTTGGGGTGGTATAAGAAAAATGGGAAAGTATCTAAGAATAGCAATTTGACGCGAGGAGGTATGTGGAAGGTGGAAAAAGGCAACCTGTCGCGTCGACGAGGTTCATATAGGGATAGCCTATTGTCATTCAAACTCCGCCGGAAATTAGCGTGAACCAGTTCCAATTTTACAACGAATACAAAGAATAACGAGGACACAGGTCGAAGTCTTGCTATCTATTATACCGGGATTAAACATGTTCGAAAATTAAGTTGACACGAGCGAACCTCCTATAAGGAGCCAAAGGTATCCTTCATGAACTTTAACGCAGTAGCATTTGCTGTAACCTTTGCACTTGTCAGTGAGGAAGCCTTCTCAATGAATAAACTGACCTTCTTCGGCTCGAACCCCAGGACCTGTAATCCTTGCAGGGACTGGGCGCGAGAAAGAGCGACATATAGTTGTCCTATCGAAAATATTGACTCAGGACGCTCCAAGAGGGAATGACGATGTTTACCAGGGGAGAACGTGCGGGAACAATCTACAGAAACCTTCTGAAAACCAGAACCTTGGCTTCTGTGAACGGTCATCGCCCACCCCAAAGAAAGAGGAACCTAAAACAACCGTTAGCAATAGGACTGATCAGTAAACGTGCGGTTACGACTTGAATTCGAGACGCTCTTATTGTTTTCCCGCGTTCTTCATAATCAAACGTGAACTCTTCATCTAAAACAAGAACGTGTTCGTGAGTATCCGCTTGCATGAACTTTACAAGAGGAAATAGATTTTCTTTACGACCTCCAACAGCACGACGGCTGCCTGGCTGGGCACGAAGAGGTCTGGAATTCTCATCAACTTGGACGTCACGGATGCTGAACAAAGTCTGCGGTGAGGAGGACCTATCGTCTTCAGATTGTACATCGTATGATGTGTAAAATCCGAGTACGACTCCTGGGCTGCCGTTGTGTAGTCCGTTACCGATATTCTTTCGCAGGATGACCTGCGCTCCTGTCTTAAGTTTGACTAAACGTTCGGCCGGCCCGTTGTTGACGAGCTTTTTGGCATGGTCAGTCGAAGCGTCGTCTATGCATGTGTACCTCGTCGAGTGACCCGGTATCTTGCTCAAACGTTCCTCATTTGCGGCGTTTGCATGTGAGCGAGTGCAAAAGAGAAGGACGACCTCGACGTCAGGCAAATATGCGCGTGGAATTTGTCGCTTCAGGGGCCTAAGGATGTTGGCCGTTAGATCAGACACCTTGCCGATGCGTATCTCTTGTAAAATTTTGATGAATCCTGGCAGTCCTGTTGTTTTAAGTTAGCATCAGTGTGGTCATCGGAACCTACTTGGACTCTGCTGGCGGTAGGCCGTAGTCAATCTAATATTCTGCGTGAACGTATCCATCCATGACGTGGACATGAAAGCAAAATCAGGCGAGGAATTCTTGGGGGTAACGGGGGGTAACTGTAAAAAATCGCCCGAGGTAATAAGCTGGTTGGTCTGGTGAGTTTATGTCTGCACAGAACGATGGTTACGCACCTGGATATTTCCAAAAGGAATATCCTTCTGCCTTATTTTTCTCCCGATCATATCCAAGCAGGATATAAAGAATCCAGTGACCAAGGAAACTGGGTTGCCGTGGCGGTGGGTAAAGTAGGCTAGGGGGGCAGACTTACTCTCATCCACAATAAGCACTTTGGCTTCTATCCAACGCGCAACCGCCGAATTGTTGTTGATAACCTTTTTCAAGGCCTGTTCGGTGGTTGTCTCGCAACCCGTGAGCCCAGCCCACGAATGAATCGTTTGTCCTGGTGTGAGGGTAGGGATCGATCTTGATAAGAATAGTTCAAACTTACCCTGTATCTTGTTCGCAGCAGCCCCTGTACTCGCGGTAACGGCCACCTCGTGCTTGGAGTACTTGGTTAACAAGTATTCAATGATTTTGATGACGGTAAAGGTTTTTCCCGTTCCTGAAAAACATTGAGTACATCAACTGAACTGGGCGTAAAACTCACCAGGATCACCGGTCAGGAAGAAACTGGTTCCATTGCGAGTGAGATCTAGCGCGGCCCGTTGCTGAGGGTCGAGCGTGGTTAGGTCAACATTTCCATCGGTGGGTCGGGTCATGAGAACCCTAATGGAGTGGTTAGTTATAAGGTCATGCTGTCTTTGTTGGGGAGGCATGTTGGGGAGGAGGACAAGTTGGGAATCGAAAGACGGAGGCCAAGGGCGAGTATATATGGGGCCGGGAACAAACAGTTACCCCTATCTGCCATATCAAAAGTAACTCTGAAATGGAGCCACGCGTCCAAGGCATTGATGCCTTCTGGTGGTATCACTCACTTCGAGCGATGATTAGACTACGACAGCGTGTTGTGTGTAGCAAGTACTTGGTCAAACAGCGGTGAAACATACTTGGCGTAAAGTGATATATGAATGTATAATACAAGGCGGGCGTCCATCTGACTGCTGAATGATGCATAAAACTAATTGTCCGCCTGGTATGTAACCGACCTTAATGCTAATGTACATCCTAAAACGCGTGCAGTTGAAGGGAAACGAAAGTTGAGCAAATTGAAAGGAGCATGTTAAAAGTTAGCAATCCTCGCGTTCGCCTCCGCCAGGGCATCTGACCACTCAATCTCTGCAAACTCGTTTGAGCACGATGCAAAAGCGATCAACAAATCGAACACGTTGGGGGTCGCTCTCGTGGGGATGCCATTGCGAGGTGACGGCTGAAAAAGCCAGACGACGAAGGATTCAATGTCGCGGATGATGAGACGGTAGTTGTGCTTGCCGAGCACTGCGAATATGATGCGATGTAGCGCAGGCACGCAGAAGACGATGTAAGGAATGCCGATCCAGATGTCCTGGAGAGCCTCACTGTCGCACGTGCGTTCCACAGGGTGGTGAAAGCCCATGTAACCACAGCAAGAGAAACATAACACGCTGTTGTTAACACTTTTGCGCATGGCCTTGCGGAAAACGGCTTTGTATTTACTGGTGTCGATGAGGTCACAGTGGCGGAGATCTGCATGCTGGTTGATAATGTCGAGAGACGAGGACAAGCCGTGAAAGGGACAGCAGCCGATATTATCTTCGATGAACTCGCTGATCATCTGGAGTTTCTGAGCACGTTCCAATGGGATCATACCGGGCGATGAAGTAGTAGTGATGGGAGATGGTGAAGGGGGTGGTTCGGTGCGTCGCTTCTTATTGGGGGGCTCGTCGAATGCATGCGTGGATGGTGTGACTAAACCCGTGACCCTATTGAGTAGGGACGGGGTGCTGCTGGCCAAGGTGCTTGTAGGGGAGACGACATCTGGTAATTTGGGCGATTGCGTCAAGTCGAGAGGGCATTTGCTGGAACATCCGTCAGCAACGGGCGGGGTTTGTTCCGTTTCGTCTACAGTTAGCTTAGAGTTTATGAGTACAGGCGTTATCAAAAGAAGGGAAGCCTTACAGTAATGTGACTCATCAAATGCATGTATAGGCCGGCCGGCAGACCCGTGAAAGTGCACTTGAGGAAGGGGCATCGATAACCCTTGGAATGCACCTGTTTTGCGGTGACGTTAATGCCTGGAAAGTGACTCGGTTAGAGGTTTAAAACACATAAGAGGTCTCCGCGCACCGAACAAGTTGAAGGTCAAGCTAGGGTCTTCGTTATGGACGGACACGTGCCTGATCATATCAGAGGTCGGTTTACTGCAAAAGAGGCAGCACAGAGTTGCTTGTCGATCGAACTTTGGGGCGAAAGGGTGAGCCATGTTGGAGAGTCGAAAGGTAGGTAGGACAATTGAAAGATAGAAACGAGGGTAAAGGGACAAGGAGAGGGGGGAGGAGCTTTTGTACGTCGACGTTGGATTCCGATGTCGGACCGATATGGCCAAAGAAGCGACTGACAAATGTCTGGAAATAGGAAGGAAGATAGAGGAGAATCAGAAGAGAAGGCTCGAAGCTTCTTTGGAGACCGGAGGATTGAATCGAAGCGCCGTTGGCAGATGCGAAACTAGGAAGAAGAAGCATTAGTTAGTTGCCGGCGCGATGCTTCAAGGGGTGGCTTAAGCGGTGTGGTTATCGATGGTGTATATGGGGAGACCAGTTAGTACAAGAGTGAGTCTCATAGAAAATAGGACATTGCAAGGTATGGGCGATGCAAGATGTAACGCTGAGTTGGGATGATATTTCAGAATGCCACCGTGGCAGGTTAGAGACTAAAGCCGAACCTGGCGTACCTGATGAAGGTCCAGAATAATGTCGATTAACCTTTGTGCGAAGCGCAAGGGCCGTGCCTAGAAGAGAAGCGTGTGTAGGAAGGAAGCTCGGGTATTATTGATTGAACTAGCATATGCGATTCTCATGAGGGATAGTAGACGTATATCAGAGCATTTAGATATAATATTAATCATGCGTTCGAACGTCCGTCATATGCACATCGTTAGTGGAGGGTGTAGGTAGCATACGAAACTCCTTGTAAAACGCAATGATGAAGGCGTGGCACCGGGGGATCTCGTCAGCACGCGTGGGGTGATGAGTGAGCCACTTCTGCAGAGCGGCCAAGTTGGCGAAGTTACTGACGTCGACGCCCAAGTGCTGGGCTATCTTATCTAAATAAGGATTCTTCGTATGGTTGTTAATAGAACCCTTCTGAGAGTAGATGGCGCAGATCGCATGGGGAAGGATAGATGGAAACTTGGCACCGTGGGGACATGATTGATGATCGCGCAAGGAGCCTTCTTGGAGGGGCGGATGTTGGCATGGTTCACGAAATGGGATCCAACACATGTAACAGAAAGGCCAATATGTCGTGTCCGCACGCCTGAGGCAGACAAGCGACGAGGCCTTGGAACCCACGCCTGCAAGGTTTGGATGCTTGCGGGCATGCAGTTCGTGTTGGTTGCTGACCCAACATTCGATGCAACCAGATGCGACTATGACTTCGATGATGTGCTTGAGCACGCGCAGCTGCTCAATACCCGAAGAGTACTGTGAATCGATGGCCTCCCCCACTGCTCTCACAGTTAAATGCTCAGTGGCGGGCGGTTGATGATTTGTAGGGTTCGGTACAGTTCCGGAGGATGATGCGGGATATCTGTTGGGTGTGGGTAGCGATGGTGTGTCGCGGGGCAGCCAGAGAGCCTGCCTAACAGTGACGTCTGCAGACTAAAAGGGTTGGGTCAATTACAATGAGCGCATATAACAAGTACGAAACACTCACATTTTTCATGAACTGGCAGTTGTCACAAAGTAGAGTACCGGCGAATGATGAGCACGAGTGAGCGTCAGGGTCAAAATGTTGAAACGTGAGGCGACGACAGCCATCCGTCTGAATGAACTCTCTCATTGGAAGTACGCCAAGATGCTCGTCTCTGTCAGGCTCGCCGTACAGTGGCAGTTTGCTGTAAATCAAAACAGAAGACGAGGGGAGCCCGTCCCTTCCTAATCGACCGGTCTCTTGCAAGAACCGTAGCATATTATTCACCTCTAGATGGATGACAACCCGGACTCCAGGAAAATCGATGCCCTCGCCAAAACAAAGTGTTGCGATCATCCATCTCTCCTTGGGTGTGCTACCGTCGCGCCAGGCTTGGAATCTTCGTTTCTTCTCCTGTGTGTTTGCGCGCTCGTCCAGCTGATCATCGAGTTTGCTGGTGTAGTATGGAATGCCGAGAGTTTTGGCGAGATCCTTGATGAGGTCGATTCTCGTACAGTATATAATGCCCCTGTCCATTGCGTTGAGAACGGTCGAATTGAAGACATCGGTAAACTTCTGGATGACTTCTTTCACAGGTACTTTGATGACAGAGTAATGTATGTTAGGTCGATGTAACGGAGCTCTGATGACGCGGACCATGGTGGGTGGGATTTGCATTTCAGTGCACAGTCTCGATAAAGACTGGGGTGACATCGTCGCTGTGAGAAAGGTAATCGGTTTCTTCAAGCGAGTTATCAAGTGGAATAGTTTGAAGCACGGGCGATAGTCGTCCGAAGTGAAAACATGGTGCGCCTCATCAATAAAAACACGCCTGAGTCTATAACTCATGGAGTTTGCCCATTGGTAGAACTCGTCCGTTCCTGCTTGGTGCGCCGATACGATAACTATCTGTGCCGTTAAAACGTCTTTCACGTGATGATACTGTCCACCGGGAATGGTAGTACTTGCCAAACGACGCGACAAGTCTTCCGTCAAGGCGACTAGGGGAGTGACAACAATGAATAAACTGGCGGGGTGTAATATGGGAGCAGCAAAAAATGCTAGACTTTTCCCGCTGCCGGTTGGCATGACACAAACGACGTGGTCGCTGGTCGTGCAACTCTGTACAACTTCTGCTTGTTGCGGTGAGGTGAACGAAGGGTTTCGTTGTCCGGGGAAGAGCGGTCGTAGGCGTTCTATAAGGTTGGGATGAACAGAAATCCGTGGTAAAGACGCCGTTGGGGGGACACCGAGGGGTGCCTTGGGAGTAACACCCAACGCTAGAATGTATTGATGAAACATGGCCTCCATTCCCTTTAGGAGGCCATTGCCCACACCAGTTGCGACATTCCTGAGCTCGTCGACAATGTCGACGCCCATAGATGTGGTTGCTTGTCGAGTTGCGCTGTGGATGGTCGTCTTCAGGGGTCCGAGCAAACGGTCGAAGAGTTGTTCTTCATGATCACGCGTTACCGAGGATTGTTCATTGGAGACGCCCGTTGCACCGTTCTCCAACTGCCCGATCGTTGCGTGCCATCGTTTACTGACTCTCTGCATCGAGGAAACAGCGGTGTGTGAGATCTCGGTGAGTGCATTGGTTGTCTGTAAAGCATAATGGGCCTCTGCGACCGACTGGGAATGACCGAAAGCATCGTGAATCGCCAATAGCGGGGCATCTTCTTCGTCGATAATACCAAAGTTAACTTTCGCGATGTTGATTAGCATGGTGCTCATGAGCTGCCTCCAATCTCTCATGCCTAACGCACGTCCAAGATAGCGCTGGGTGATGGCACCAATAGATTGAGAGAATTTATGGGTGTCCATGGGAATGCCATCGTGAAGGAAGACGTAGGATAGATACGCTTTGGCTTTGTCGACAGACATGATGAACGAAGCAAGCTCTGCGGCTGCAGGATATAGGACGCCTAATACGACCAATAGCAATCTTGATGTCGAATGGGATGGACAACGCGCAATGAGTTTACCATGGCCTTGTATGCTTGCGGTCTTCACATAAGTAGTTGAGATAGTGAGGAGACCATTGAGTATGAAAACCTGTCTGTCGCCTTGACCGTCGACTTGGAACTTGAGGTGGTCACATTCGGTCCCGCGCGCTCCACCGCCCCACGTTGATACCACACAGTAGAACATGATGCAAGAGAGTTCGTTCAAAAGTGCGATCCATTCCCATGCATTTCCTGCGTTAGAATTAGTGACCACGTTCCGTGTATAATTAAATGGTTTGTTTACCTGCGTTAACTTCATATTTGCCGTCCACTCTGGAAAAGAATCGGGGGTCTCTGGCAAGGTGCTCGATAAGACGTCGCCGATACTTGTCCCACCCGTTCTGTTTGAAGTTAAATACAGACGTCTTTTGATCTGCAGATTGAGGGCTGTCTGTGAACCAATTTCCCGGGTTATTTGGGTCAGTACGAGAGTCGATGTAATGTAGTATGTCGTCCCATTGGCAACCGCGGAACAACTCGTCCATCTTTGCCTTCATGTCGTCCAGAGATAAATCGACTGAGTGTTTGAAGGTTTTCAAAGGTATTGGGAATCCGTCGATGGACACCACAGTCATCTCAGGGTTCCATGCAAAGCGAGGGAGTCCGGGTTCCGAATACGACAGCGCAGACAAGAGGGCCATTTTCTGTCGCAGACCTGTGAAAAGAGTCTGAGGGCCGTCAACGAGGTAGCGTTGGACGAGAACCTGATATGTCCTACGAGAACAGTAGTTAGTGAAAGGTGCAGTATGGGGTGGCGATCATACGTACTTGAAGGAGTTATTCTCGTGATATGGCATCATTTGCATGATCTCATATGCCGCGGTCGCTCTGAAGCACCACTGCGCCTGACTAATAGTGGGCGGTACTTGAGATGCACGGTTGGTGTTACCATGATCATCGGATAAGTGATACGTTAGGAGGAAGAGGGTAAACAGGTCCTTCATTTCGTTCTTCAAGAACTCGTCGCTAACGCAAGAGAGGAGTGAAAAGACGGTGCGGTGAATAAGGTCTATACAACGTTGATGGCCGTCGACGAAGACATCGCTCGAAGCAGATTTCAACAAAGCGTACAACTCCTTCAAGTAATGACTGTGTTGGGGATGAAGAGGTACATCGAAGTTATCGACTGGCTGGCAAAGATGGCGGATGAGAAAGATGATAAATCTAGACATAAAGTTAGCATAACGTTCGAGGGTGGGGTCTTCCTGCGGACGGCGGAATGGAGCTTTCTCTGTATCACCGGAAGGGCTAGTGGACACGAGAGCTCGAAGAGTAAGAATTGATAATCGTCCGAGGTTAGCTGCGATGAACTTGTAGTAGGATTGCGTTTGCTGTATGAGGTAATTGAATTCGGGTGCGCCTTCAGGTTTCTGAGCGGTTTGGCGGAGGGATTTGAGATCAACGTTCTCGATGCACGGCTCCCAGTTAGTCTGAGCTAAAAGGGCCCCTCTGGGTCGCTTGTTGGTCGCAGGCTGGTATGTGGTGTCCCTAGAGTATAGACCACACTTTTCAACGTGGGCAAGAATGGTCCCAAGGGCATCTGTGTGTGGGATCGAGGGAGAGCTTGCTACCTCGATGTACGACATCAAGTGTTTGCTGACCCCAATCTGGTGTCCGATGGCGATGATGTGGGAACGAAGCGCAAGCGGAGGCTTGCCATGGGCATGGACACAGTGTTTATGAAAGGGTTTTAACGACGTGAATAATGTAGAAGACGTGCAACCTTGGAAGGTGCACTTGACTAAGTCAGGTATGATGCGCATGCCGTCTATGGGTGGAACTGGTCTGGTTGGTAAAGGCATCGGCAGGTGGGCGCCCAACGCACGCAGGGTGTTCAAAACGTTGGTCTTGGACGGCAGCGATTTTTTGGAAGTCGCTGAGGATTTGTGTTTTTTGCGCCGGTGGCCATACACCTGCTCCCATGGGATCGCAACGCCACAGTCGAGACACACGGTGAGATTGAAAGTGGGGTCGACGTGGATACCCCATGTAAGGGCTTGACTTCTAAGCTCTGTAGGGTCACACTGTTCCTCGATATCCATTGCTGAGAGGGTGTCGTGTGCAACGTTTGGGTCGTCGTCATCTCCGGAATCAGCTAAACTGACATCACTCTCGCCGGTAGAATCGATGTCTTCATCAGCAGCATAGTGTAAATGGGTGTCGGTGATTGCTGCATTGTGAGCAACGGTGGTCAAGTAGTTGCCTTTGAATGAACGAGTCAGAGAAGATGACGTAGTTTGTTGGATTGCTTGAGAGCGGGCGTCAACAGCCAGACGTATTGAATTGTCGGGGGGCTGAGACGCAGGTGAGGGTAGAACGGCGATATTTGTGTCTGGAAAGGGGGAGTCGGAGTATTGGGCCATGCCCGGTGAATCGTGGTGATAGTCTGGAGTGGAGTCCATATCAACATCGGCGACATGCGCAGGCTCTTGTGCGCCGCTTGGGTCTGTTAGGTGTGATCTTTGAGCAGAGAGGTCAATGGTTAGGCAAATGAGTTACCGTCATCGGGGTCGATACAATCTGAAGCAGAATCTTGAGGATGGGGAGATTTCGACAAGAGCTTCATAAATCGATGGTAGTCGTATCGACCATGGTCGTATCGGCCGCATGGACAATGGAATCGACCATCCGGATTTCTCGAAATCTTCACTGTATGTTTTGAGGTCAGTATATGCAAGCAAATCGCAAAGAGTATTCCACTAACCCGTCTGCCCTTGCCATGACACATTGATAAAAGCGGTATGGTACTTATTATTGTGTGTCTTTTCCTTGTCTCCGGTATGGTAATTGGGACGAGGACAGTTCGTTTTTGTACACCTGGAGAACTTTAATTGATCATAATACCTGACTCTGAGACAACGTACTGTTTGACCATTGAATATTGAGCTCCCAAAACTCAACGTTAGGCTACAGCGTGAACGGCAGCTTAATAAAACGACAACTGTGCCTGACGGTTTCGAGCAGGGGGTTATCGCTACCCCGATCGTCTACTATGTCATACAAACAATATATAACCGTCGAGTTAATTCTATATGTTCCTGTACAATTTGTAATTAGACATTAATTAAACGCGTGTGATTTGTAACTGAACTTAATATTCTTATCGAGACGTCAAGTCTTTTTGGCAAGTTTTCTGTAGCACTGCTTGATAATGTTTTTATTTCACCAATGTATTTAATCAGCATAATGAGAGTCAACAAAAAAAATAAGCACGATATTCAGTAGCCATTTTATTTCACACTCGAATACTGCATCGAGTATGGAGTTTAATGAGAGCTGCCATAATGGCGATTGGGTGAGATCGACACTAATACGAGTGCGCAACGTCGCAGACACTGATGCCAACAGCAAGAAAGCGCATACGGTTATCACAACATTCCAGAAAATGTGCTGCCCCTTGTACGATCAGTCGACAGGGCAGATATGGGACCTTCTGGCGGGAGGGTACAGCCTGAGTAATCAGCGGTGCCGTTCAACTGTCACATATCTCTCCGCCATGTACACGCCGAACGCGTCAAAGTTCATTTTATTTCGGAAGCTTTTGCCTAAACTGTCATCAAATAAAATCGTCAAATAAAATCGTTATTGAGTAGGGCTTATAATAGACTCAACTGAGACGACCTCAAAATTCATTGTTATGATTGATAAAGACTAGGAAGTATGTATTACACTATCCTAATAATCTGCGTACTTGGGCCTTGACTGTGTGATAGTAGATCGGAAGGGAAAAACAGAAAGGTGGGGGAGCGTCTTATATAGGGAATGCCATATATTTTTCAAAGTCCGCCGGTATTGTCCTTCTGCGGTGGTTTGCGCTACTTTCCAGCGGAGTTCTAATTATAATAGGTCGTCCCTATATGAATTTCGTCGAAGCCAGATCTTGCTTTTTTCCTCCCTTCACAGACCACCGCCTCGCACCGATTAAATATATAGTTGTTGCTTGTTGCTCATCTTAGTTTTTGATTTGATTAATACAATACAATTATTTAAAATAACTGAATACCTAAGCCAGTTCTTTAACCTGTGAACCTTTTGAGTGTTAGGCCGGTCAGAACGCGTTCAATTACATAAACTTTGTGTAGCGCGTCGCGTCACGCTTATTCATACAGTGGTCACAACGCTTGGTGAGCGATACTGAATCCATAATCCCTATGAAAAGAACTCAATTTGCGTTTTGCAGCTCTTCTTTCCACTTCGTGACAGTGCTTACTATAGCACTAGGTTAATGGTGCGAGAATCCAACGGTAGGTGGCTATTTCGTGAAGTCCAGCCAAAATTTGTTAAGGATGGAGAATTCAGATCATGTGAAAACGTGCTACCGACGACGTCGAGCACAGCATTCAAGCCCTAACACGTTCTTATTTATTCCTGCCCACTAACTGACCGAACTCGCAAGCAGATTTCCCATCCTCCTAGCGGCACCGCCCGCTTGGGTCTGTGTATATGGTGTCCTCGACTGTGAATACACTCTGCTTATTTGAAGGTGAGGTGTCTTAAATATTCCGCTAAGTCCAACTTCCACTCAAACACACGCTAGATAAGAGCAGCAACGCCATCAACCTAAAGTTGCCTTCACATTCGACCTTCGGAGCGATGAAACCAGGTCCCGTAGCAAGGTGGTATTGCCTGTTGGCTTGCTTATCCGACGCTGATGATGTTCTGACCGTGCGCCGCTCTCAGGTCGTGCGTTTCTCGTCTGTTGGCTCACTTACTCGACCCTGATGATGCGCTTGTCACGTTGCACTCCCAGTCAGTGGGTGTTCTCGTTCACTGGGTCCGCTTAATACCCAACCCTGATGGCGCACTTGTTGCGTCTGGTCATCAGGGTATGTGTTCTGGTTTTATGGTGTGCGTACCTGACGCTGATGATGCCATAGCCTTGTCCTGATTTCAGAGAGCGCCGTGTTCTATTCTTTTGGCTCGATGCTGAATGATGCTCTGGATGTGTCGCGCTCTCAGTCGGCGCACGATCTTGTTTTCTTGTCTTTTGGTTCGCTTGCCTAATGCTGACGGCTCGTGACAGCGTCTCGCTGTCGAACAACCATAGAGAGCATGATTTCAATGCTGATGGTGCTTTGGTGACGACCCGTGTTTATACGATGTGTGATGTCGTCTGTTGAAACGTTGACTGTTTCTTTGGACCTTGACAACGTCAGAATGATTTTCTCTGCGACGGCCCAACTCAACCAAGTCACGTTTCGCCATCGCACCGTATGTGATGTTATCTTCCCAGGTGAACAGCTAACTTAACCATTTCTCATTCTCCCGTCAGATGGATCGTGTGTGCATATCACGCATGTGTTATGTGGCACGCACTTCCTGTGTTCTAGAAAGTTGAAATGGGAGCCGTACATCGCGGTGAAGAGAGGCAGGAGTAACGACTGAAAGCGTCCGAAAGCGGCGCAGATGCATAGGAGACCTTATAGTCATACGATAGCTTGATATTCAGATGCTAATACGACACGATTACGACAGTATTCAGACAGAAATCAGACATGCGGACGCACTACAAACCGGATAAAATTCAGTTATCGGAATCAGACTCTGCTGCAGGAGCCAGCGTTCCTACGTCGGATTAGAACCAGAAATGGATACTTCCCAGTACTCTGTCACCTCGGGATTTGCATGATTTTCCACCTCCGATAACATACTGGTGATGTCGTGTTATTGCACCTCTCGTTTCCGCAGCATGTGAAGTTCGAGTGATAGCTTTCGAGTGAGATGTAGGGGCGGCGAGGACTTTGTTCCGGGAGGGGCATAAAACACTATAGAGTACGACAATTGAAGTGTTAGTTTTCACAAAGGCTGTAGAAAAGGGTAGAGGCTTGCCTTACCCTCGCCGTAGCGCAAGCCCACCCACATCGATGATCATGCCATAAGTCGGGAACAGGATGTCCGGGCAGCGAGGTCTTAGGTGCGGGAGGTTTGTAGTACCCTGTCGAGTAGGGTTATAAAATGGTTCGTTCAGAAAGTTCGTTGAAAAAGAGTTGTAGGCTTACCTTTCCCTCCTCCCTAAAACCCACTTAGGCCATAAGTCAACACCAGGAGGTGCGGGTGGCGAGATTTTGGCTGCGAGAGGTTCGACTAACTCTGTAGAGTAGGTTTATAGAAGCGTTAGTTCAGAAAGTTGGCAGATGAAAAGTTACAGACCAATGTTTCACTCCATAACGCTTAAGCCCCCTCAGAACAATGTTCGGGTCATAAGTCGAGAATGGGAGGTGCGGGCGGCGCGATTTTTGGTGCGGGAGGATGGTAACATGCTATAGAGTAGGATAACAGAAAGGTTAGTCAAGAGAGTTGAACGAAAAAAAGTTACACCCTCACCTTTCCCTCCTCGTCACTCAAGGGCGCCCAGATCGATGTTCGGGCCATAAGTCGAGAACGAAAGGGCCGGGCAGCGAGATTTTTGGTGCGGGAGGATTGCAGAACGTTGCAGAGTAGAGTGATAGAGCCTGGGCTAGTACAACCCTAACATTAGAAGTAAGTTATATGCATATCTGTCCCTAAACCTAATCACTAACCTAACTAAACTAAGGGACTCAGATCGATGTTCGGGCCATAAGTCGAGAACGAGAGGTGCGGGCGGCGAGATTTTTGGTGCGGGAGGATTGTAGAACCCTATAGAGCAGGACGCAAGAAGCGTTAGTGCAGTTAGTTGCCTAAAAATAAGGTTACAGACTTACCCTTTCCTCCTCGTCCCTATGCCCAACTAACCCTGATGTTCGGGCCATAAGTCGAGAACGGGAGGTCCGGGCAGCGAGATTTTTGGTGCGGGAGGATGGCAAAATGCTATAGAGTAGGATACCAGAAGGGTTAGTCAAGAGGTTTGAACGAAAAAAAGTTACACCCTCATCTACCCTAACTCTCACTAAAAGGGCGCCCAGATCGATGTTCGGGCCATAAGTCGAGAACGAAAGGGTCGGGCAGCGAGACTTTTGGTGCGGGAGGATGGTAGAATGCTGTAGAGTAGGACACCAGAAGGGTTAGTCAAGTTAGTTGAATGAAAAAAAGTTACACCCTCACCTTTCCCTCCTCGTCACTAAAGGGTGTCCAGATCGATGTTCGGGCCATAAGTCGAGAACGGGAGGGCCGGGCAACGAGATTTTTGGTGCGGGAGGATGGTAGAATGCTATAGAGTAGGATACCAGAAGGGTTAGTCAAGAGAGTTGAACGAAAAAAAGTTACACCCTCACCTTTCCCTCCTCGTCACTCAAGGGCGCCCAGATCGATGTTCGGGCCATAAGTCGAGAACGAAAGGGCCGGGCAGCGAGATTTTTGGTGCGGGAGGATGGTAGAATGCTGTAGAGTAGGATACCAGAAGGGTTAGTCAAGAGAGTTGGACGAAAAAAAGTTACACCCTCATCTACCCTCCCCCTCACTAAAAGGGCACCCAGATCGATGTTCGGGCCATAAGTCGAGAACGAAAGGGCCGGGCAGCGAAATTTTTGGTGCGGGAGGATGGTAGAATGCTGTAGAGTAGGACACCAGAAGGGTTAGTCAAGAGAGTTGAATGAAAAAAAGTTACACCCTCACCTACCCTCCCCCTCACTAAAAGGGCGCCCAGATCGATGTTGGGGCCATAAATCGAGAACGGAAGGGCCGGGCAGCGAGATTTTTGGTGTAGGATCATCACAGGGTGCAGGGTAAGCACCCTGCAAGGTACCGGGGTAGCCAGAGGTCGTGGTAAGAGTAGAGGAGGCACACGAAAAGTGTAAAGCACATGGGAACCACGAGTTTTTGTTGAGGGCAAAAGTCAACACTAACACAATTATTTTAAACCGAATTTTGGTGCGGGTGATGCAGAATTTCGAGGGCTACAAGATGGGTTAGTTAGATAGATACAAGTTGTGGAAGAAATGACTTGAAAAAAAAAAGTTGCTGGTGCGGCGCTTCTAATAGTTGCGCCTTCCTCATATGGTTAGGACAGAGCCTTGTGTTGAATTGACATGTTGGGGTGCGAGTCGCTTTATTTTTTGCTGCAGTAGTCTTGGGCGAGAGGTTGAAATCTTGTTTGGACTTGACTTTGTTTTGCTTGATTTTTGTGGTTTTATTGCGGTGATGTTGCTTGATATTTTGGCTGTTTGATGGTCTGCGGAGATGCGTCTGCGAGGTCAGAATTTGGTTTTGACTTGACTTCATTTTGCTTGATTTTTGTTATATTTTGCGCATTGGTGGCTGCAGTGGATGGGTGGATTGGCGGAGAACAGAGTATTGATTTGCTTGATTATTGCTGTAGTGGATGTGGCGGGGAACAAAGTTTTTATTTGCTTGATTGTTGCGGGTGGTATTTGTCTGGGGTGACGTGTTGGCTGAGGTCGGAATTTGGTTTTGACTTGAGTTGATTTTGCTTGATTGTTGTACGTTTTTGCGCTTTTATTGGTGGGGCGTTGCTATGGTGGTCTTGGCTGAGGACGGAATTTTGTTGTTGCTGGGGCGGTGCTTGTCTTGGGTGATGCGTTGCGGTAGGTCAGAATTTGGTTTTGACTTGACTTGGTTTTGCTTTATTTTTGAGATTTTTGATGATTTTGTTGCTGGGGAGTGGAGCGAGAGTGTATTGGTATTGGGGGGATTTTGTTGATTTTGCTTGACTTTGAGTTGTAGTCTGGTGGGGGGATGTTGGTCATATTACTGTATGTGAGCGAGAATTGAGACACCGAGAGAATATGTTCCTGATCCTAAGCATTAACTGAGACGACGAGACGACGAGACACCGAGAGAATACGTTCCTTATCCTAAGCGAAGCTAACGAGACACCGAAGCCTAAACTAACGAGACACCGAAACCTAAACTAACGAGACACCTAACGGCAAGCTAACATGGGTGGGGGGTGGGGGGGACTTGAATTTGTCTTGGTTGTATTTCCTTGATTTGATTATGATCATGCGGTTGGTATATTTGGATATGAATTCGCTTGATTTGAAGTGCGGAAAGGTGAGCGGATTATACTTATTGTATGCGGATGCTTCATTTGCTCAAGGATCAGGTATGCAGATGATGCATCGGATTTGTTTGATGTTGCCTTGACTTTGCTTTATTTCGCGTTTTTTTGCTTATAGCGATGGCAGGATCTTGACTTCATCGTACTATGACTAGGTCGGGATCTTGTTGTATCTTTGCTTGATTCTAGTCATTGCTGGGGTGGCGCTTGTCTTGGTCGATGCGTTGGTGGAGGTCAGAATGTTGTTTGTATTTGACTTCATTTTGCTTGATTTTTGCTTGATTTTTGCTATTGTATCATTTTTCTTATTTAATTGCTGCGTTGTTGCTTGATTTCGGTCACGCAGGCCAAGGTCAGGATCTCGTATTGACTTGTCTTTATTTTGCTTGATTTTTGCGATTTTATTGCTATGGTGTCGGGTATATTTACTTGTTTGATTGCGCTGATCTGGCAGGATGGATAGGGGTGGGAACTTTCCTTATAAGGACGTCGTGATGTAAGTCGTAGCACGAATTTGTGCGAACGTGGCTGTGGTCGCGGAATGTCTTTATGTCGTGATCTGACGGAGATATGGGCAAAACAAGCGCAGCAGGGACTCTTTTACGTCATACATTTTCGCACTCAGCAGGGACTCCCTGTAAACCGGAATAGGGGCAGGGATTTCCTTTTTCGAGCAGGGACTCCCCATATATGGTTAGTAGCAGGGACAGGGACGGCTACAGGGGTGTAAACCGGGAAACAGATAGATAGTCGCACCGCATCCCGGACGTGCAAGATTACCCATCGCCCATGCATCCGACCACTAAATCAATCCATTAATTAGTACTACAAATCCCGGACTGCTCCTGCTGAGAGGCATGCTCAACGTCGCAGTCACTCACATAACCTTGTTGTTATCTGGGCGGGGCCATACCGCTCCTGATCGCCGGTACTCCCATACTTGATGTTTGCGGCTTCCCAGAAGGGATCATCCCCAGGCCAAAAAGTGCGGTTGGCTGTATTGAAATCGTCCGAAAAGACCAGTTCGTAAGGGAGGCCATCAAATCCTGATCGTGCTGCAGCACTACCGGGCATATCAGGATCGATGAGCTGCGCCATTTGGAATCTGGGCAGAAATACTGTCAGTCAGATAGTCCATATCATGCGAAAGAAAATAGAACAGCAGAAAAATAGTGAAGTGGTAGAACGCACAGAAACGAAATCTGGCCGGTTCCATTGAGGAGTATGTTGCCTGCGCTTAGGTTATTGCATGCCAAGAAACCCAGTCTGAAAGACCGTGGGAAGCTCTGCCATATGCGCATGGCAAATTCCGACTATCCTCGCAGACTGATGCGGTGGCAGGGCCAAACCAGGGCAGGGCATAGTACAAGGTTGCGAATGGTGCTCGCAGCTCTACCCTCCTCACTTAGTAACTGCCTTTGGTGTAGCCGGGTGGCGAATGGTGTAAATAGGTGGAGCTCGCACTGCAAAAATCGCGCTTCGTATTCTCTACCCAGGCCCCGATTGTACTGGTTTTTGCCCAGGTAGCCAAGCTGACCTTGCTTGGCATAATAAAGTCTACCTTATTTCCGCCTTCAAACTAATCATTTTTCTCTGGCAGAGATAACCATCTCAGGCGTCAAATACTGCCCTCATACGCGCTATATTCAAACCTGCCCCCTCAAACGACTTTTCAGGTCTCTGCGCCGAGTGCAGCATGCGCAGCGGTTACAAAGTCTTCCTCGCTATCACGCAGATATTTCTTTTACAGCCAAATAATGTGAGGAGTAGTTCCAAATTATTTGAGCCCACCGCCTCACATCTTTGTAGCAGGGACCCGGCTCTCCGATCTCGGTCTACAATTTACCGGATCAATTTGACAGCGCTCTAACCTTAGTCTGGGCTGATGGAGCCAATGGTAATGGAACACCCTCTGCGGAACGTGCTGAATACTGCCAGAATAGTGCGCGCCGCTGCTCAAAAGGATCCGCTACGCCTCGCAGTCCTGATCCGTTATCCCGCCGGGCGTTGCGGAGGACTTTGACACCCGTTCGCCTTGACCGGACCATCGTGTTCACCACTCATTTCTTGGACGAAGCTGATCTGTTGGCCGATAACATAGCCATTTTGGCTGCGCCCGGCTAGCTGGTAGCCGAGGGCAATCCCGTTGCTCTCAAGTCAAACCTTGGGCAGGGATACAGCGTCCAAGTCGTGTTCAACTCCTTGATTTGGCTGAGAAGGACCTTCCAAAAGTATTCTCCGAAACTTTGGATCGTATTCGCGAAGTTGGTCCCCAGCGTTATATGTCACTCTCCTCACCGAGCCAGGCATCATACCACCTCAAGCCAATGGATCCTGCTGTTGTGGAGAAGGTCCTCCAGCTGCTGGATCAGAAGTGCGATGCTCTTTGCGCCGCGCCCTGTGATGTGCTTGGGACATCCGTTGAAGATATCTTCCTGAATCTCACGGCCCACCAAACTGGTAGCGTCTCCCTAGATAGCGCTGAGAGGTCCATTTCAAGTTCAGGTGAGCCTTCACTTGACGTTCGGTGGGATATCAATAGACATGCTCACGGGTGATTCGTTGTTTGCGCGGCAGGCGGCCCTGCCCAGCTTAGCTGGTCCGACTATGATGAACCTGGCAACAAATATACTTTATAATCGGGCATCAAACACTTCTGGGGACATTGAACACCCGCCGAACCTTATTTACGCGAGCTATGCTGCTTTCCTTCATCTTGCTTCGGGGACTCTGGTTGATCTCAAGTGGGCGGCATTCTTTGGGGCTGCTATGGTACGCGCTGAGCAAAAATTCCACATCTATAGGATCGCGCGCTAATATCTTGTTTAGTTTGGCTTTCCCGTTCCATCATGCGATTTGGAGGTCCCATCCTCTACCTCTTGGTTTATGGCTTTGTGCTGTTCGGTATTCTCTTATGGGTTGATTAGCTAATCATCTAACTCGAATTGGTGAGAAGGTGCGACTCTTCTACGCTAAGTGATACAGACACTGAATATTATTATGCATAAAGGAAGGCGCAGTCGCAGCGCAAAAACTTGACCTTGAGACAACACCTCACTGAATCTGTATTCAATCAACACCCTCCCTCGTACGTCAAACGTAGCGTTAGAAACTGGATAGCGGGCTGAATCTCGTGGTTAACATTTCGCAGCACCATCGCAGTGGCTCATTCTGTACTGGCGGCGGAGCTGTGCGG